AGCAGCTCCAGCTCTGGCACAGGGCACGTGCTGGTGAGGTCATAATCCAAGGAAATAGGGTTGTTGTGGTGGTGATAAGTGGAGTGGTTGGAGGGTGAGTAGGGTTTTAATCATCTCTTGTTAATCAACCTGCCACCAATCCACCAGTCCACCAGCCCCAAGGGCTCCAGTTTCTGCAGCAGACCACTGCCACTGGTCACATATCCTCAACTTCTGGTTGCCCTGGTGACCTAGAGTGGTTCTGAGGGCTGGATCACCCCTAAGGTAAGTTTTAGTAAGTCCAGACCCAAAATAAGCTAAAATTCCTGTGTTCCATTCTGATCATTTTCTTCTAACATGATACAATACTAGAAAGTACAATGGTAATTCGTTTTTGCTGCAGTGGGTCAAACAACAAGCATATGCTTCATGCAAGGATGAGCACTTTTTACTTACCTTCAGAAAAATGGCCAAAATAGCCACACCATCATATCTTCTCACAGCATCAGCATAATTACTATGTTTTGGATTCCAGTGTAATAGATGAAGCTGGAACCAAAGAAAATTAAAGTACTCTGAATCCTATTATGGAGTAATAAGCATCAAAATTCAATCCAGTATCCCTGGGGCACTCAACTGAAAGAGTTCAGAAAGCATAGGAAATACAGGAAAGGACTCCAAATGCCATAAAAAGCCGACACATGACTGTTTAAAAAAAACTCATGAAAGTGCTGGGACAGGTATAGGATATAGTTACACATGTCGACTATTTTGCTTTTAAACGTAGATATTTTAATATGATGACTGTGTAGAATAACTTTAAATATGATAATGTAATAGAATCATAGAAAATTAGAGCTGAAAGGGACCTCAGGAGGTCATTCAGTCCAACCCCCTGCTCAAAGGAGATGCTTTGGAGATGTTTAACCAGGCATGCAAAGCACACATGAAATGTTGGAGTTACCCATTGATCTCCTCCTCATCCTAGCTGGATATTCAGGATAAACACATTCTAACAAAAGAATCATAATTCATTTTATAAATGCATTATAAATCATTCTTCCCTTGCTTTTGACACTTGTCCTCATGCTGCATTTGTATGAGATTATCAAGAACTACTGGGGCATCTTGTCCATCTCTGATTTTTAGTTATTTTCAGCACATTTTCCCCACAGGTTTTTCTTTCTTTTTTCTTTTACATGTCCTCCATATATTTACATAGGTACTAGTGTCATGACTGCTACTGAGTATCTGAACATACAGAGAATCGGGAATAAAATAACTACTGAATTTAGAACCCTTTGCTCACTTTTTTGTTGGCATACTGTGACACTTGAGGCCAAATCCATATAGCCCAAGGTTTCTAGTTACACTTTGTACTCTAGACGTTCTCTCTCTCTTCTGTATTAAGGAAAGAGGTTAAATGGCAGTCCTCCAAAAACACACTTGAAACATTTTGCCTGAGGGAACAAAAGGCAGAGTTTGGGAAGGTGGAGTCTGCCCACTCAGCCTGCAAATAGAAGCTACTAAAGCCAGACAGCTTGACCATAACAACTGATGCTACAAAACATGTGGATGAAGAGAGAGTCACTCAGATCCCACTTGACAAAGTTTGAGGCCAAATGACCTGTAAGTATGCATATGGGCTACCAACTATTATTTTTTTAATGAAGAATGGGCAGAGTACTGTATAACTCTACATACAGCATGTACAGACTTTAGAACTGCAACACTAACAAAATACTTCAAGCCATGGCAATATGGAAATCATAGAAGGTTAGAGACCATGGAAATATCTATACACCATTAATAATTGTATAAACATTCTAATAAGAAGTAAAAATGTAACAAATTACATTGTTTCATTTTCCTTCCCTCGTATTTGTGAAAAATTTTCCTACACATGGTTTGCTTTGAAATAAGCAAAAAACAAAACAAAACAAACATCTTTCCAGGAAGGGTGGTGTTCAGATTGGAGGATATTTACATTTTTGCTAATGGGTCCAGATTGCGTGTTTGTTGTAAGCGACTCATCCTGTTTCACAGTTAAGAAACTATGTAGAAATAAGAGGTTTAATCTATAATCACTAAAAAGAAGTAAGTATTTGTTAGGTGAAAAATAAAAATCACTGTTTTTCTCTGCTGTGGAATAACATTACATTGTCACCTGGCCCCATGTAAGTATTTCAAAAAAGAAAGAAAAAAGAAAAAGGAGAAAAAAAAAAAGCAAATCCTACCTCTCCTGCATATTTCACTCCATCCACAACATGCTCTGAGCCCTGGTCATCAGACGAACCCCAGTGGAAGTGGAGCTGACGCAGTCTGTAGATTCCTGGGAGTGGTCCACCTCTCAGCACTGCAAGTGATTATCTGCATCAACCAAGCTCAGACCTTTTTCAAAAAGCTTTGCAAGCATTTCCTGCACAAGAGCAAACCTTAAAGCTGCTGAGCACCTTCTAGAAATCCAGTTTATTTTGGTGGGCCTTGAGGTACTTCACTTCTGGCAGAATTTGGTCTATATCCTTCCATTTAATTCCACAGCTATAAAACTACCATAAATCAGATGAAATCCTAGAATTTGATGGCAAAGTCTATGAAATGGGTCTACAGGGGCTATGCTTTCAACCCCAAACTGCAATAGACTAGTTTGAAAAGTCATGAATATTTAAAAAGCCAATGTTTTCTGTAAGGTAGGTCTAGTTCCTGAAGAGATGACAGAAGAAAGAAATATGTTAGACAAGCTGCTATTTTCCCCTACAAACATTCAACAGGTTTAATTCTTGCAGCACTGCTGTCACCTACAGGACTGACAGCAGCGAGGGACCTTATTAAAAGATTTTTGAAATTCCAAATATGTCAAATGGATCTTCCTTGTCCACGTGCTTAACACCCTTGAAGAACTCTAAAAGATGGATAAAGTAGGATTTCCCTTTACAAAAACCAGCCTGACTTCCCCAGTAGATCACAATCCACGTGACTGTTGATTTTATTTTTTATTATAGATTTTTATTCTAAACAAATAATGAAGGTTTTAGATTATAAGACAAACAGAAAAATTATGTTTGGACATTCAATTATTTGTTAAAGATAGTTGTTAAGGATACATCTGATTCTGTCAGGCATTAATGCCTTCAGTTGCCCTTCCTTAATGGCCATACATACAAGGCATCCAGAAGTTGACCCAAATGGGTCCTCCTAATTAGCTGTATCTAATGTACATCTCAGGCTCTGAAAAGTAAATCCATAACCATCTTACCTGAAGCATCAAATAAATTAAAATGTCAGAAGGATGTGAAAAGTTGTCAGCTCCTGCTCATGTGTTTACTCAGATAGGTAATACAGTACGCTATTTCCAAACAGTAATAGTAATAGCTGTAAAGGATGTCAATCCTCCATTAAAATAGATTTGTAAAACCGTGTAATCCCATTTGAGGGGAATACTGATAAATTATTTTCACTTGTGGGTTATCAGTTATTTTCAATCTGGCATCAGGTGAGGCTGTAAGATTTCATACCAAAAATGCATGCTTGTCTCTATAAATACAGAATAATTTGTGTTTCATTGTTTTGAACCACTCGTGACATGAAAGACTAAAATGCCTGCAAAACTAATTTAAATTTAATTACTCAAATAAGAGGAGAGAGTTTTACTTGTGTTTTGTACGTAGACATGACAAAGCACACAAAAACGTGGTGCTCCAGGAACCTACTCAATACACTAAAATATTCTACAAATGGGAGTGGATTATCTGAAGTGCTCAACAAACCTGAAACTAATGAAATATTGTTAAGAACACAAGTGTCATACTGGGTCAGACCAATAACCCAGTATTCTGTCTCTGGAAGTAGCAGCAGTGTTTGCTTTAGAGCAGTGAAAACCAACTTTTCTGGCAGGTGTGCCACAACATAAGCCCTGCATCCTTCCTGAGTGTTACTTCAATCCCCTTCCCTTGCCTGATCTGTGGCTCAGCTTTCTGGTCCTAGCCCCATCTATCACTGTGTTCCTTGATCCCACCCTGAACTGCATCTAAAGTGATCTATCCCTTGACCACTATCTTCCCTGGTGTTCATTATCATTGATTTAGAGGTGCCAGAGGATTATCTGTTCCGTTTAATAGCTAATAATAGATCCATCATGCATTAATTGGTCCAGTCCCTTCTGAACTTTGCTATAGAATCTGCCTCTATAAATAATGGTTCTCAACGTTTTTAGATAAATGGCACTCCTTGGAAAATGCCAGTTCTTAATAAAAAATTAAATGAAAACTACAGGAAGTAATAGAGCAAATCTTCCTTTGCAAAGAACTCAGAAAGACCACAACAGATCAGAATGTTTTAGCACTACAAATTCCTATTTGAAGTATCTGGGTTTATCTTGTGAATCATGTTTGTATACCTAACAGTGCTAAGATTCAATAGCAACTCATGGCACCCTGGTTGAGAATCACTGCTCTAAGATGTCCTGTGGTAATGAGTTCCACAAGTTAACTATGCACTGCATAAAAAAAGTATTCACTCTTGTTAGTTTTAAAAAGTGGTTTCCTACTAATTTTGGTGGGCTCTCCCTAGCTCCAATATTCAGGACATAGTAAAAAATAGTGCCCTATTCACTTTGCCCACACACAATAATTTTACAGACTTCTATCATATCCCCTCTCTGCCTTCTTCTTTCAAAACTGAAGAGCTCTAGCCTTTTTACTCTTGGTATGGAAATTGCTCCATACACCTGATCATTTTGCTCTTGCCTATACTGTTTCTAATTCTACTACAGCATTTTTGAGATGTGGAGGCCAAAACTGCGCAGTATTCAAGGTGTGGGCACACCATGGATGTGTATAATGACATGATGACATTTTCTTTTTGTTTTTAATTCTGTTCTGCCCAACACTGTACTAGTAGTTTTAGTCATCACTGCACATTGAGCTCTCCAAAAACATCAGCTATCTACAATGACTCCATGGTCTCTTTCCCCAACTTATAGCAAGAGAAGGCTGAGGGGGGACCTGGTGACCGTCTATAAACTCACTAGGGGGGACCAGAAGGGTTTGGGGGGAGACGCTGTTTCCCCTAGCGCCCGCTGGCATAACAAGGAGTAATGGGCACAAGTTGATGGAGAGGAGGTATAGATTGGACATCCGCAAAAACTACTTCACAGTTAGGGCGGCTAGGAGCTGGAACCAACTTCCAAGGGAAGTGGTGCTGGCCCCTACCCTGGGGGTCTTTAAGAAGAGGCTGGATGCCTACCTGGCTGGACTCATTTGAGTCCC